TCACACGCACCGAGTGACCGAGCCCCGCGCGGGCCTCCGCGTGTCACACGCACCGAGTGACCGAGCCCCGCGGGCCTCCGCGTGTCACACGCACCGAGTGCCCGAGCCCATGCACCCTCCGCATGTGCCTCTCCAGCACACAGCCTCAGGCGAGCACCGAGGACAGCGTGAGCACCAAGCCAAGCACCCGATGCTAGGAAGGAGAGGGTGGGAACGGATCCCAAGTGCGGCGGCCAGGACTGGAGGCCATCCCGCCAAATGGCCATGCCCCCTGGGGTGGGGATCCGTAGGTGAGCACAGCCGCAGGGGTGGCCAGGAGGAGAAGGAGTACCTTGAGGTTCAAGGGGCAGAAAGGCCAGAGAGCCTGCGAAGAGCATTCTGTCTGAGCAGAGGAGACAGCACAGCGGGGCCGAGCGGTGGGCCGGGGTAGAAGCTGGTGTGCCAGCACCGGCAGTGAGGCCAGCCAGGTGGAGAGGACAGGCGTGCACGGTGCGACGCCCCGCCTTGGCCTTTCCATGCCATCCTCTCCCAGGTTAATTTTAGTCACAGATGAGTTGGGCCGGCCTGGGCTGGTGCCTGGGAGAGCCGGCCATGTAAATACACAATGACTCCACCAGAGGAGGGAGGGAGTGGCCTGCTCTACCATATTGGGTCAGGAAAGCCTCCACGGAGGACACAGCTCACCAGAGGATGAGTGGGAATTTTCTGGAGTGGGAGCAGTATGGGCCAAAGCACAGAGGTGTGGTTAGGATGGTATGTTTGGCAAACCAGTTCTTGGGCTTGAGATTGCTAACCAAACCCTCCCTGGACAGAGAAGAAAAGGAGAGATGTGAAGATGTCCAGCCTGGCATGGGTCCCGCTCCAGCCATCACAGGGCGTGAGGGGACCCGACAGTGGAGTGGCAGGCATTGCTATGGTGTCAGATGCAGAAAAGCTAGCGCTGTTAACTATTAAGACGTAGCCAAGCACTGGCCTCTTATTCCTGTCATCCTAGCTACTCTACTGGCTGAGATCTGAGGATCAAGGTTGGAAGCCAGCTTGGACAGAGAAATCATAAGAGACCCTTCACTCCTCCAGTTAACCAGCCAAGTGCCAGAAGTGGAGGTGTGGATCAAGTGGTAGAGAATTAGCCTTGAGCAAAATAGCTAAGGGAGAGCTTGAGGCCCAGAGTTCGAGCCCCAGTCCTGGCACCAAAACAAAAAGATACAAGTGCTCTTATAAATAGCTTGGGGCTTTTACACTGGGGCAATCCCTGGAAGTCAGTTCACAGTACTAACATGATAAAGGCACAGGTCTTTTGTCCCAGGAATTCTCCCTTGGAATGTATCCTGCAGGTGCACTTGCACCCTCCAAGAAATCTTGTACACCATTGCTTGAGGTCCAAACACCACACAGCGGTAGAAAGATGGCAGTAGACTGTGCACTGATACAGAAAGATGTCCAGGAATGACACAAAAATTGGGCTGGGGGTGTGGCTTAAGTGATAGAGCACCTACCTAGCAAGAAACAGACTCTGAGTTCAAATCTAGTACCACGAAAAGAAAAACTATAAGCAGTATGAATAGTGTGCTTCTTTCTGCAAAAAAGGACAACATTTACCTCTAGTTTTGAGTACATCTGGGGAGACGCGAAACACAGTCACAGACTACTTCTTGATCATTTTTAGTCTTTCAATGATGGAGTTGCCCACTCAAAGCTTTAAAGCAAAACTAGCCCAGAGGGAAACGTAAACCATAAAGGGAGAGGAGGAGACAGGGAGAGGAGGAAAGAGTTGTACTCCAGTTCCTCCCCTATGCTCCGTCCCCCTTCTCCCCCACAAACCCCGTGGTGTGCATTGGCACACTACCCAGGCCTGGGCCTGGCCAACTCCGCTGATCTCCTGCTCCTGAATTGCCAGGCCCTGGGAGGAACCCGACTCCACTAGGCAGCCCTACTTCCAGACACCCAAGTAGGCCAGAGGAGGCCATGCAGCACCTCACCCCAGGAAGGCTGGGCTCATGGCCCTTCACCCTGTTCCTCAGCGGCCCGTGGGGGAGAACACACTTCCTCCCTC